ATGCTTTCCCTTTATCAAATAGCTGCTTGATTTCCTCTGCACCATTTACAATCAAAAAAGTAAAAACTGTAACATTAAAAGTACAATCAATCACTGAAAAATCCTTGATCTTCTAGCACTTTGAGAAACTCCACTCCGTACCTCCACCTGATTCATGTACATCTGCAATGATAAGATATATGCAAGATTTTGTTAGAAAAGTTTAGTAGATGTCATTGTGCAGTTTTATAGCGACTTATATAAGGAGACTTGGGAGATTATCTCCACCAGGCAGAGGATGTTTTGCCTTAGAAACAAATCCAAATTAAGTTAGCTAGCTGTATGCTGTAAGTTAGCGGCTTGATATCTAGAAAAGTCAAATTAGAGTGCCAGTATGAATCTATAATTATCCTTTGCGGAGTTTCGTAGAGACAAAAAACAAGTTAGACAAGAATAAAATCTGAACAATAATCTGATTACCACTCTGTATCTCTCTGTGTTTTGTTCCTATTGGAAATTGAATTGAAACAATAGTTTGCTGGGTAGGAACAAATATAAAGAAAAAATTATAAATCTGATTACCTTTTCAGTTTCTCATGCTCCTCCCCTCTTGGTCACCATCAATCTCAAAGACAATTTGTGAGCTTTTTGGGTGAGATTGAAACTTAGGGTTATAATATGAATCTGATATGAGAAAGATGATAGAAACTGAAAATAAAGGATATGGGTAATGGATTGAAGGGAGATGGGAATAACAGAGAAAAATTATAATGGTGGATTATTAAGAGATCGATGGATTAAATAGAGCTCCATGGAGAAATAATTAGGAAAGGAGTTGTTGCTCTTGGCTGGCTGTGTGGCGTAGGAAACAAAGAGTTTCTGAATGGGAAGAGGAACAGCCTTCCTCGTCAATTACAACGCTGACTTTCTGTTTTTATTTTTAAAATTTTTTTTTAGTTGGACAATAAAATATATATATATATATATATATACATATAATATAAAAATTTTTGGGGCCCCCTTCATTGGAGGCCCATGGCCAAGGCCCTTCTTGCCTACCCCCAGGGCCGGCAAATCTATTCCTGACTAGCTAGCTTCTATAGGAGAACTAGTCTCTAATACAGACTTGGTTAATGTCGTTTTCCAAGGCCTTGGTGATGAGTATGAGATGTTGGTGACATCTCTTGAGAGCCTAGACACTTTTCCTAATTTTAGTGCTCTACGATCTCATCTTCTGACTCAAGAGTCACGCCGTCGACCCACCATTTCCTTTCAGCCAGTTGCCTTGCTTGCCTCCCAGGGTGCCTCCGGCCTTTCTTCTCAAATTCTAGTTTAAGAAACAATAACAGGCACAATAATTGGAAGCACAGGAATAATGGTAGTTGAAACAACTTTGGTTCTTGTTCTTCAGCTCCTAGTATTTTGGGTACAACACCTACTACCTCTTGTCAGCTCTACCATGGCTCAAGTCATTTTGCTCCGACATGTCATATGCTCTCTCAGTTTGCCCGTCCACATGTGCCCAACCCCTTGCACACGGCATTTGCTGGGATTACAGATTGCAAGACAGCCGCAGACCACTCCTTCACCTGGTCCCACTTATATCACTCCTTCTCTGCATGACCCTTCTTGGTATCCTGACACTGGTGCCAGAATTCACATGATTGGGAATCTGAGCCTTCTCCAGTAACGCTTCCCATACAATGGTCATGATACAGTTCACCTTGGTAATGGAGATCAGATACCTATTTCCTATACGGGTAACATGTCACTCTCCATTGGCTCCAACTCTTTCCAATTAAACAATGTTTATGTGATTCCTTCCATGCGTAAAAATCTACTGTCTATTGCACAACTCTGTCATGATAATAATGTTTTGTGTGCCTTTGATTCTCAACACTTTTATATTTTTGTCTCGCTCTAATGGTTCTCTCCTCTTTCAAGGCCTATGTAAGAACGGTCTCTACAAGCTTCCATCTCTTCCTTATCATATTACGTGTTTGTCTGCTTCTCTTCAGTCGTCATCTATATGGCACAGTCGCTTAGGTCATCCTTCTAGTAAAATAATGTCCTTTTTAAGCAAAAATCACTTGTTAGGTTCCCAATTTAAATTCAAAAATCTTTTTGTAAAGGTTGTTCTTCGGGTACATTCACACAACTTCAGTTTAAAAATTCTAATGAAGTACATACTGATTCTAATTTTTCTCTTGTGCATTCTGATGTTTAGCAATCTCCTATTTCTTCTATTAAAGGCTATAAATATTATGTGTTGTTTACTGATGATTTTACTTGGTTTACTTAGCTATATTTCATGAAACATAAGTCTGAGGTTCTTTCCCATTTTAAGAATTTTTTGTCATAAATTACGACTCAATTCTCTGCTTCCTTAAAACAGTTTCAGAGTGATGGCGGGTAAGAATATGATAACGAGGCATTTCGAGCACTCTGCTCCTTTTATGGAATTCATCATTGCTTTTCTTGCCCCCATACTCCTCAATAGAATGGCCTTTCTGAACGCAAGCACCGTCACATTAGTGACATGTCTCGAACTCTTCTTCTCTTGAGTCAGGTTCCTACTTGTCATTAGGTTGATGTCGTCTACTCTGCTATTTTTCTCCTCAATCGCCTATTGCTGCTCTTCGCCCTCGAGTTTGCACTGACGACACCATTTGGTATCTTCTTCCTTGTTACATCCCGGATCGGCTCCGCCGTAGCACGATATTGTCTGCTTTAGGCCCCTTTCTCTGCCCTCACGGTTTTGTTTCTGGGAACTCACGAGCAACTTCTTAGTGGGTCACCCATCTTGGGATTGCTCAAGCCCCAACTTGCTTAACTTCGAAGTTCCCATGAATCCAAAGCCGGTGAACTCCCAAAAGGCCTTGTGCTAGATGGAGGTGGGCATGTACATATAAAGCACATCACCCCCTCTCCGTTGGTCGATGCGGGATGTTACATTCCCCGTGCTTTGTTGGTGCATGCTTTTCTTACTCTTGAAGAACCCACTTGTTTTCTAGCAGGAAATTTGTTGTCCTGAACGGCGTGAGGCTATGGTTACTGAATTTAATGCACTTCTCAAGAATCAAACATGGGCTCTTGTTCCTCCTTCTTAGCAATATGTGGTTGGATGTAAGTGGGTTTTTGAGCTTAAACAGAAGTCAGATGGGTTTATTGAGGGGTGCAAGGCTCGCCTTGTTGCTAAGGGATTCCATCAACAACATGGTATTGATTTTGATGAGACTTTTAGTCCTGTTGTGAAGCCTACAACAGTTAGGACCGTTCTTGCTCTGGTACTTTCGTTTCTTTGGCCTCTTCCTTAACTAGATGTGAAGAATGCATTTCTTCATGGTTACTTGGACACTACTATTTTTATGTCTCAGTCACCGGGGTTTGTTGATCTAGCTCGCCCTACTCATGTATGCCGACTTCATAAAGCCTTCTATGGTCTTAAGCAGGCTTCTCGTGCTTAGTTTTAGTGACTTAGTGGCTTTTTACTCCAGTTTGGGTTTGTTCAGAGTCGAGCTGATCCCTCTTTATTTATCTTTCACCACTCTTCTGACATTATGGTTCTCTTATTGTATATTGATGATATTGTTCTGACAGGGAATCAACCCTCTCTCATCTCCTCATTTGTTCTTACACTTGGTCAAGAGTTTGACCTTACTGATATGGGTCCGCTCTCTTATTTCTTGGGGCTTGAAGCCACATCTACCACCTCTGGCCTCATTCTCTCACAAACCAAATATACTGTTGATCTTCTCAAAAGACATTCCATGATTGATTGTAAGCCTTGTAGTACTCTGGTTTGTGCATCTCGTCAGCTATCCTATCTTGATGGTGAGTTACTTTCTGATGCAATTGAGTATAGGCAGCTTGTGAGCTCCCTTCAATATTTATCTCACTTTCACTAAACCCGACATTTCTTTTGCCGATCATCATATTGCTCAGTTTATGAGCGCTCCTCGTTCTCCTCACTTGGTTGTTGCTAAGTGTATTCTTCGTTATTTGAAGAGCACTCTTGGTTTTGGTCTTTCCTTTCGTCGGTCTCCGAGCCCCCTTGCTCTTCATGGTTTCTCTGATTCTGATTGGATGGTTGTTCAGTACCCGTTGTTTGACCACTGGCTTTTGTGTGTTTCTTGGTTCCAAACTTATTTCTTGGTGTGCTAAGAAACAATCAACAGTTTCTCACTTCTCTGCTGAGTCTGAATATCGCTCTCTAGCTCATGTTTGAGCATACACTACATGGATCTCTCATCTCCTTCATGAGTTGGCACTTCCTCCTTCTGGACCAACCTTATTGTTGTGTGACAATCTCAGCACTACCTACATGGCTTCCAATCCGGTGTTTCATGCTCACACTAAACATATTGAACTCGATTACCACTTCATTCGGGAGTGCATTATCTCTGGCTCTCACCAAGTTCAATTTGTTTCCTCTTTTGATCAGCTCGTTGACATCCTCACCAAGGGCCTTTCTACGCATCGTTTCCAGCCCCTTCGTTCAAATCTCGTCTTTTCCACATCGTCAGATTTGGTGGGGAGTGTTAGACAGCATCCCTGATTTATAGCTAATTGATGTATATACCGTTTATATCTCTCATGTCAACTATATTAATTGTCAATCCCTATAGACTAGGAATTCCTTTATATATATTTCCTATTGTAACGTTAGCTTGGTTGCATATATACTTTCCTCCAACAGTGAGAAGAATACAATTCAGATTTCACAAACTTACATAGTTATTGTTTCCTACATCAAATACTGAATCGCCAAAGATGAACATGGCTTCATGCTTTTTATGGTGCCTAGAATGGCCATGGCTAGAGCTACTTGCGACGAGAAGGCTTGCAGAAAATGCCAAGATATATATTTTCAGCCTTGAAGTTGCCATTCTAGCAATCTGGTTTACTTTGTCCCTGCTTCAAATGCATAAATAGGTTTTTGTGACTTTACTTGTCGAAAAGGAAACGAATGTTAACTTCTATGATCAAATCACAGTTAGTGTAGCCCAACTCTCCAACATAGTTGCTGAACTAACCACATATATGTAAACATGATTGAAAAGAATGTTTGAAGGACTAACAATCAAACCAACAATCTTCTCCTCTGTTTCAGTTCTGTATGTTTAAAATATTGCAACCTTTAAATTGAGAGAAGAGCTGGTTTCTAAGATGATCCAATGATCCAATGATCATTAACTTTTGTCAGCAAATAACAACTTTGAAAAGGCACTAGAACCTCTAAAAAAGGGTAACTTACTATCAAAATGAGCCATTAGGGAAAATCACCAGTGACCTTGTTTTTATAGGGAAAGAAAACATGTCCAAGAAAACTTGAATCTCTCTACTTTTTAGAGAGAGTTCCTTAGGGTTCTTGAGAGGGTCCCTGAATCTCTCTACTTTTAAATGTAATTAACCAATGTCATTTTCCAAAATTATTACTTCACTCATTATGACCTTAACCTCTATGGAATATTGTACACATCAATAGGATCGCCCGCCTCTGGAACTATGGAAAGAAAACAAAGCAAATTGAGAAACAAGCAACCAAAATAGACCACCTTCACCATTTGCATAATGTCTATTGCCCTACTTAACAGAGCACCTAGTTCTTGGCTTTTGCTTCTATCTTCCCCCCATAAGATCCCTTACTGGATTGAGTAGAATTTATTCTTTGTATCTTTTGGTGTCAAGTATTGGAGTGCAGAAAACATCTATCACATCCATTTTTGAGTTGTGAATACATTAATACAAAAATGATATATCAAACCATAATTTATTTATAAACAGAGATTGTCTGTGCAAATTCACAGGCGCTTATTGAAACTAAAAAATACGTAGGTTTCTGAACTTCAAATAACTCTTTCAAATTTGTTGAAAAGTAATGCATATTTGTGTAGATGTAACTACACAATTCTAGAAAACTCAAGAAACTACAAACTAGATTATGGAATGTCGGCAATACACAAAAAAATATGCAGAGAATATTCTAGATGAAGCCACACACTTGTGGCTGGAGAAAAGAACAAGGCGGTGGAGCATGATGGCTAAACAATATCCACAAAAATATAAACGTTTCTAGTAAAAGCCACATACTTGTGACGGGGGTAAAAGGGGCCAAGTCGGTGGACTTGGTGATGTCGGCAAAGAATGCCTATAAATAGGCATGCAATGCAATAAAGCAAAGTGGAGTCTTAACAAAAAGAACTCCCAAACTAAGGGAGCCAAGAGCTCAAGCTAGGGCCAAATAGCCCAAGCTAATCTAAATCAAGTGTGGTGGCCAATAAGCCAATAAGCTAAGAAGGATGCCAATTAGCCTACACCAAGCTATGTACTATTCTTCTTCAATATAATAAAATTACTTTGTTCAACTATTGTCCTATTGTCCTAAACCCCTTCACACATATACCAGCAACAGTATCAGAACATCACTCTCACACTTCTAAAATTCTAACAGTGGTATTAGAGCATCACAAACACTCATCACACACCTCCTAAATTCTAACAAAATTAAAAGAAGGCCCTGGGACTTAGGAAGTATGGCTCCCCCATAACTTGAACACTTGCCCATATGCCCATGGCTCATCAAACTTTTAATTCGCTTCGAAAAGGAAATTGTGTCTGCAAATTGCTCAATTTCTTATGAAACTATCAAGCCATGTTTTGCCTAAACTTCAAATAGCTCCTTCAAGTTATGGCTCCACCATAACTTGGACATTTGCTGGTAAACCCTTTCAGTTGGATGGACAGAGTCAAAAAAGACGTACTCAATAACATTGCCACATAACTTATACCCAGTCACACCTCTCTTCCCTCCACAGGTATATTAATTCCTCCGTATGGACCAGAGCCACAGCACGCCGTCTTTCCTTCCTTGAAACCTTTACAACAGTAATAATGTAAAGAATATTAAAAAGGAGACATTATTTATCAGCTTATGACAAAACCAAATAAGAGAAACTATAACTTAAAGGAGAAGGTGTCATGGATGGATATGCGTACCATATTTTGATGGATGATTAATTCTTTCTTTAGCATAAGTGTAGAGATTAAGCTTTGAGTATTTGAATCCTTGGAGATCTTTCTTCAGCTTTGTGAGGACTTTGGAAAGTAGTCTGTTGTGTAGATTCTCAAGTGCTGTAACTTCTTCCCGGGAAGGGCCTGTGTTTCCTGGTTGAATCACTCTCCTGCTTGGCGCAGAAGCAAGAGGAAAAACACTTGAAAATCCAAATTTCCTGCCTCCTTTCTTGTATACATCCTGACAAAATGTATATCAAATCACTCCTCCAAAAGATCTTTCCGGATTCATAATCAGAAGAACAAAGTTGTACACAAATTGTAACAAGTCATAGAAAAAAAGAAGAAACTCGAATTAAAATTTTTCTCTTGCTATGTATGTGTGCAAAATGGAGATAAGATTACTTCGATCCAACTTGTCAGGTTGCCAATAACCCAGCCAACATATTCTTCATGGCTGGTATTGGTGGCTAATGGGATAGAATAGTCATTGGTTCCAATGCTGATTAAGTAGACAGCTTTGGACAGCAATGTGTAGGCTCCTACTTCACCCAGTTTCTGCCTCAGCTGCTTCTCCACCTTCTTGAATTGACTTTGTTGAGTTTTAAGGTCGATCACCTGAAAACAACAGATCACATAATCAAATCATGCTAACGAAAAGCATGCAAATTACTGAAAATACATATTGAGATGCTGCAACTGTAACTAAAAGTCATAACAAGGGAAAACATATAATAAGCCAGAGCATATACAAATCCTTGAAAGGTTTCAACTAGAGCACCAGCTCCACCAGAAGCAAAGTTCACCCCATAAGTATAGTCTTTCAACCCAGGTTGTAAATACGTGTTGAAATATAAGTGTAATTAGCTGAAATGTTCTGTTTAGGTTCTGTAAGTATGCTAGCTGAGTGTTTAAATATGAACCATTGAATCATAGTTCAATGGATGGCTAGGATCTTAAGCTGAGGTATGAGTGTTTGTATTTGCCATGTGTCTCTTATCTCATAGGGTAGAGGTTTGAATGGTTAGATTGAGCTGATGTAAGAGAGGAATATTCTTATTCCTAACGGTTTCTATATCAAGCATGTAGTGTGCGTGTTTGAGTGTGGAATTGAGAAGTGAGATTACAGACTCACATTTTTCTACCATTTTTCATCTGCTCATTTTGAAATCTCTCTGTGTTCTTCATTTCTTCTCTAACTCCTGAGCTCCCTATTCTAAAATCCAAATCTAGAGTAGATAATAGTCTGCTATTTCAACAATATGCTGGTATAATTGGCAACTTGGCATACTCAGCTGAAATATGAATATAAAATTTAATAGTTGGTTGTATCATGTGCTTGTATTATCAGTTGCTGTCAGTTAGCAGCAAAGGTGTTTGAAGAAATGACTGAAAGAAACAATATTACTCACAAGATGGTTCTTACCAATGAAATCTGGGATTAAACGCCCATCAGAAAATCTACCAGTTGGGTACCTGAAGAATGTTTCACCATATGGCAACCAATTTGCCTGGAAATCTTTTGTGGTATTTATGTAGTTATTATTTCCAGGATCATAGAGTGAATCACCAAAGATGAACAGGGCTACATGTTTTTTCTGAAGCCCAAAATGGTCATGGCAGCTGCTTTGAATAACAAGGCCTGCACAGAAAGCCAAGATATAGATTTGAAACCTGAAAGATGCCATTCCAGTATGTTGTGTTTAGCTTTGTATTTTATAATCTTTTCCCCTGTTTCAATTCAATTTAATAGATGGCTGAAACTGGTGTGAAACTTGGACTTTCGATTTGAACACAGAGAAAAGATAAGGAAATTACTTCCTGGTCCAGATAACATAAAGAAAAGTAAAGGAAAGTGAACTAAAAAAGAAAAAGATACAGTAATTTTTTTGTCTTCATTATCAATTGAATCACAAAGAAACTTCTCCTAAGTTTTCCATCCATAATCCAATGAAAACAAAAATAGCTGCAGCCTCCTTTACTTGAAATACTGTATCTTAAAATGTTGACATTTACCTCTTGTGTTTCATGCCTATGTATAGGTCTTGTTGATTTGCTTGTGGAAAAAGAAACCATTGGAAATTTGTGTAGTCCAATGAAGTTTCTTTTAGTCCTGCAGTTGAAATGTATATGAAGTTGCTGCGTGATGGGCATATTTTATATTATATATTTAACCTCATTCTTAGTATATTTTGGTTGATATTTTGGATGAATTTTGATACTTTGAATTATATTTCCAATATAGGACTTTCGACTTCCTCTGGAGCAAAACATAATCAAATGGACGAATTTTGGAGTAATTCTAGTTGGAGGGCGTTCGTGTGTCACTTAGCTTGATCTTATCAAAATTTCAGATGTTTCTACCAAGCGGTTATTTTCTGGCGATAAAATAAAGGAGCAGTGCGCGGTGCTGGAATAGTGACGTTTTGGGCTTTTATTGCGTTTTTGGAGCCCAAGATGACCTCGGATGGGTTCATGGCCTTCTGGAGAAGTGTTCAGAACGTTTTTATCTTTAAAGCAAGCTATCTTGGGCCGGATTTGGAGGAGATTTGAGCCCAAAACGTGGCTGGGCAGATTATTGGCAGATTCTGCTAATCCAATTTGGATTTTATATCCTAGTAGTATTTTATTTTAACCTAGTTTCCTTGTGGGGATTAGAAGCTGAGTTTTAGGAGGTATTTAAACTATTTTTCACAGCAAATTTAGGATCTCTCTTTTGGCTTTTGGAACGCGACTTTTGCTAGGGTTTTTGAAGAACTTCTACTTCAAGGTGTTTTTATTCTTATTCATGGGAAT